AAAAATCTGTCGATAATAATGTGATTATTGCATATCACATGGATTTGATTAATTAATATATGAAACACCCCAATGTTCTATGCATATTGGATAATTCATTATTAATAGCTTAGAAATTATTGTTAACTTATTAATTAAAATTTAATTCTTAATTGTTAACAATTCATATTTAATAATTAGAAATTCCCATCGCTATCTGTGAGGTACTCTATAACAATGGACATACAATGGGCGATAAAGTTGTATGCATGATTCAAAAAGACGTGTCTCAAGGGAAATCTTAACTACTATAAAATCATGTTTATGGAAATTTCATTCGTCAATCAACAATGTGACCAAGTGTTAACCATTTTATATCAGGTATTATTTCGATTTTTTCATACTATAACATAAGTAACTGGGACACGATAAGAAAATAAGCTAAAAATGGTAATATAGACTATCATTAAATAGATACGTGAATGGGATTCTAAAAATCGTTCTCTCTCATTCAAAGAAATGAAATTGAAAACACTTCCAGTAATCGATTTGTCTCCATTTACTGATTCTAATAACTTTGATTCAGAATTTGCCAGACAAACTGTAGCTCGAGAACTTCATTTTGCATGTAGAGATGTCGGATTTTTTTATTTGAAGGGTCATGGTATACCACAAGATACCTGTGACCATGTTTTAAAATTGGCATCCGAGTTTTTCCATCAGCCTAATGAAGAAAAGGATAAATTAAGCATTGCCAACGAAGATTTCGCGAGGTAAAGTCAGATTATTATTATTATTATTATTATAGTTACAGTTATAGCAAACGGCATAGAGTAACTTGATATAATATATATAAGAGGATATCAAAGACTCGGTGAAAATGTCACAAGATATCAAAAAGACTGGCATGAGGTATATTGGAATTTTAAACCATTTGAACCCATTTAATTCTTCTTTTATATTTATAAAGATTACGATTTATAATTACAGGCACTTGACTACTATAAACCAATCCCCCGTAATCATCCATTGGTTGTCAAAAATCTTCCGTTAAGAGGCGAAAACCAATGGCCAACAAATCCTTCTGAATTTCGTAGTGTATTTGAGCAATATATAGAACATATGAAATCTCTAGGTGCTAAAGTTATGAGTGCTATTGCCATGGGTATAGGATTGGAACATGATTATTTTGCAGAATTTATAGATGATTCCTTTTGGTGTGTGCATTTTTAATTTGAATTATTGGTAAGTTTAGGGAATGGTTGGTGTTTAACTATTCCACAATATTTTAACAGGGTGATGAGAGTAATTGGATACCCACCTCTGAATAGTGCGAACGGTTTAGACCGTGTAAAATACAGTTGTGGTGAACATACTGGTGAGTTTGTTTTATCAATACACATATATAAATAATGTATAATAAAAATAATGGTTTGCACGGATGCTGGGGTTAAAACAATGCCAATTAGCCAAAGGTTTCGAATATAATACAATTAAAACTGAACCGGGATAACGTTCTGAACCGTAACTACACATAGAGTAGCATTAGCAGGTTGTTTTTTTTTTTTTTTTACTGAATAGAGCTTGCTATTATGAGAAGTGAGAGGGTAGAAGAGTTTTCAGTGTCATTTGACTCATTGGCTTAGACTTGAACTTTTCGATTTCAATTCAAATTAAATCTTACTAATTAAGTGATTTAATTTTGTGAAAAAAAAAATAATAAAAAAATACTTGAAACATAAAATAGATTATGGGTATGTTTTTTATATCTATTCTCTTGAATTTTTAAAAAAGTTACGAGTAACTAATTTTTTGCTTCGAAAAAAAGATGCTTAACTTTTCTTAATATGGTATATATATAATAAGTTGCTTTACCTATTTTAGCATAAATTATATTTTTGTTTATTAACTTTTAAAAGGATTCCACGAAAGATGCACTCCAAGTTAAAACAAAAGAAGGAGATTGGATTAACGTAGATCCTATACCTAATTCTTTTGTTGTAAATATTGGTGATATGTTAAATGTAAGCTCTTATCATTTATCACTCAAATTTTTAGTGGTTTATTATTGCTGTTATTTATTTTATTACTATTAATATCTTCAACAAATTTAGATATGGACTAATGATTTATATAAAAGCACTTTACACAGAGTTATCCATAATAATAGTAATTATAGGGTCTCGTGAGTACTTTTGGCCGAAACGAGGCTTTATTTTATAATACCATAAAAACACATGCTAACATATATATTATGGATAAAAGAATTCCTTTCTTTTACGAACCAAACTTTGATGCAAAAATTGAACCACTCTCAAAATGTCTTGAAGTTGACCCCATTAGTCACCATGAAGGTGTTGTGTACGGTGAACATTTGCTTAGTAAAGTATGTTATGAAATTTTGGCTAAAATAATTTTAAATAAATTGATTTCTCAATCATATTCACTTAATCGAATTTTGTTTTTTGCTAGGTGTCAAATAACTTTGAAGTTACTAAATATGAATAATAATTGTATCAGCTGATGCTCGCAATTTGATTGAAGCTAATGCACGTGATTGATTACTGGTTGGTCTCGGCTTTAGCCAAGTTGCAGTGATATTAGTTGAGACTATAGACTATGTTCTAAAAGATTATATACTGTAAGAGTGCTTTCTAATATAGACGTACTTTATTATAATAAACATGATTTAATGGCTTAAGCAATAAAGACAGAAAATATTTAATTTGCATTAGAAATATTGGTAATTCATACAAAAAAAAGGGAAGATTAAGGGTGTTCTCAAGCGCCTAAATCAATTGATCGGGAATAAAATTTTAAATAGTCGGGGGCCGAAAAAATGGATCAAGTGAATTGCTGCTTCACTGAAAAAAGTCTGGAGGCGCAGACCATCTTTTTTTTTTTATAGTTAACGC